CAATATGCGTTTTTGCTGCCTGTTGCAGCGCTCTAGCGCTGCACGGCAAAAACGCATAAAAACCTGTTTGGTCGAAAATTTGTGGACAGAAAATGCACAGGAAAGAAAGGGGGCAGCCAAGAAGTCCGAAAAGTACTCTAAAAATAAGTATTTGGAAGCATCGCCGACTGTTCAAGCACAGTTACGTTGAACAATGGACCTTTTTTGGCTCATTGAAAGCGTCTTCACCATTACTCTCGCTCACTTCGTAATCATCATACTCGTCCTCACCGAAACCACTCAATTCCAAGCTCGCTTGTTCATTCACCTGCGCAGAAACCGGAACACTCCAGTCAAAAGCATCTGCTCGCTCATTCCTGTTCTCTTCATCCTTTCTGTTGCTTAGCTTCTATAAAAACTTGATTTCAGAGAGCCGAATCCAAACAATCAACAAGCGCAACCAAAACCAGAGATCTGAGGGTAACACCCCATACTAGCGTACTGAACGTAGCTCCCCTAAAAAGCCACATGCAGCTCCAAGAGCTCCCTTATGAATCACTGTCTCACTTATCTTCTACGAATGACTTCAGCGAATACTCTACCAGAAAAATCAAAGCGCTTCTAGAAGAGCTATATTGATCAAACTAATTACTCTATGCCGCTATGTAAAAGACATCAAAATAATTGTAAAAGCGCCTGGTGAATGAAAAGAAAAGCTTACGCCCAGTACAGTGATGGCGGAGGAGAACGATGATGACTCGCGTACACTCCGGTTCTTCGGCACTCGGGCCAATACATCAAGTGCAAGCAGTGGACAACCTGACGACATATGAGCACTTGCAGTACGAAAATACAGCCTTCGTTCCGAAGATGTCATAACAGAGGCAAGATTTTTCGCGGCCGCCAGGAAATTTTCAGTGGAACCCATCTGAAAGCAAAGCTGGCGCTCAACTATTAAGTATGAATTCACAAGGGAAACGCGGAACGTGAGTATTTACAATGACCTGAATTCCAGAACTGGCAAGTTTCTGTCGAACTACAAGTGGATGTGTACGTATAAACGAGTAGAAGTTGAATATATCGGAAAGAGAATACTCATCCATGGAGCTGTTCAAATGTACGTAACCCGCCTCATCAACCAGAGTGCTCGCCGCACGTATGTATTCCTTCAGATGCCAATAGGCCATCGACCGCACAAATGGGTTTCTGAAGGAAGAAATTTATAAAAATCCATAAAAGGAATGCAAATAAATTTTGGGACCGGAAAAGATGCGTACCGATGTGCTGTGGGAGGTGGCAGTGTACTGTCTAAATCCTTCAAATTTGCAGTCTCGGCACCAAGTATTTCCCGACAGAGCAATTCTTTCAGCATGTTCCCCTGTTCTTCGTAGTCGGTTTCATAGAGACGAACAATCACCATAGCAAGTTGCAGATCTTGCAATTTGTTCAGTACTGTCTATAAAATGAATAGCAGTGAGGGAATGCGATGCTGGTCAGTGTCAATGTGAGAAAGGCAGAAGGAACAGCACCTGTATGGCATCTTTCATGGAGCCGGCTAAGAGGAAGAAAGCAGCAGCATGATGGAATCGTTGCTTTCCCATCAACACAAATGCATTCTTCAATGCCGCTTTCTTCCATCTTTCTTCACTGAAGTCGTGCATAAAGAAGTCCAACATTTTGTTGTCCCTCACAGTCTGCAAAGGAAAAGAAAACAATGCCTGAAAATGGTTAGCTGGATTTCGATGCAGTCCAGTAACAAGGCAAGCGTGCAGCCCAAGAGCGGAAAGCGTAAAACGCCTGACACGCTGATAATAACATAGCGTAACCAACCTTAAACAAATGAGTTAGTATGTTTTTCTTCCTCATCAGCAGGTAATACAGCGACGCATCCATTGGATCCTGGTTTTGTTGGAAAGCCGCTTTCGCTAGCTGTAACAAGGAGATCCGACAAGGGCATTTAAACACAGGCCTGTTCGTTGCTCCGAACAAAAAACAAAAGTTCATGCAAACCAACCCTTTCGATAATCATCCGTAGCGAGGACGTGTTTTTCAGCCACCACGCAACTCCTAAAGCACGTAACTCATCCCACGTGACACTGGGCTTTTGAAGGCACGGGATTGCATTTAGCAATTCGGTTTCGGTTTCCGAATGCAATGCCCAGATAATTTGTGATGGCGAGAGACCCCTGAAAACGGACTCATTCAGAATAAAACCACAAGCTCTTTGTCCCGGCCACAGTTTCACAAAAAAGATCGCAGTGAACTGCTTGCTTCCACAATTTTATGCATTTTTTGTCGAATATCGGCACTTTCATCATCCCTCTTGTGAATCCCCCACATTCGTTCTATGAATAAACTTACTGTGGTCCGCTGTGATCAGCCATTTGTTTAGTAAAAATGTTAGTCACAGAAATGGCTGTGACTTAAGGGACACTGGCCTGATACGAAGTGTACGCTTTTGCTGCAACGGAAGACACAATAAAAGATATTCGTGTTGTTTCATAGCCATCAAATATCGCAATCCACATTCGTCAACAGTTTCAAAACCAACCGTCGGTGTTGCATAACCAGTGGCCGCATCACTCATCACACGAGGTTGTGCTGCTTGAAACGCTAAAACTCAAGCAGTCAGTATCTCACAAATAAGACAAAAATTGCTGTTTCACTACAAGACAACCTCGCGAAATTTTTCAAAAAAAAAAAAAAGAAGCTTATTTTTTTAAGTCCAAACTATGTGACAAAAATATGCCTGCGTTCGCCAAAGTTAGTTTATCCATAACGTCGGATGAGAAATGACTTAATGTATCGGCAATTGCCAGCAGATGCATTTGGTCAACACTTGAAAGACCTAAAAAAGAGACAGAATTTAACGCTCACGCTTGTTTCGTTATGAGAAGCAGAGGTTCTCAGAAACGTGGAAAAAATGACGACAAACTGTTAACAGCGAGCACTTACTGCTCACAATACGGCCTTTAAAAGCTCCCTTTTTCAACAGTTACCTAACAGTGGGATTCCGGACGTGCACCAGGCAAGCTGAAAGACACTCTCACCCGGTAAATGAGTGTGCGTCAGATACTCCGTTAACAAACGATTGTGTCGCGCGGTAAAATTTGTCGACAAATAGTCTGTTTGGGCATCGTCCATGGACAGAGAATTGCGACGAGATAATTTAGATTCATTATCAAGACCCAAAGTATCATCCAGGTCATCATCCACAACAAGCTTGTCGAAAAGCAAACTGTAGCCACTCTAAAAATCAGTGCAAAATATTTTCGGAAGACAGTAGTCGACTTAAATGAATCATCGCAACAGAACATCTCAACGAAACAGTGCCCCGCTTCTCCATTAAAATCACTGGCGAAGCGCACCAGGCGGGCCGGCGCGATCATGCACTTTTGCGCTACTTTGTGCTGTAGTAAAGTCAGCTTGGAATCCCTGTAATTAGAATCTGTGATATGCTAGTTCTCGAAGTTTCGGAAGTTAAATGTGCAGCTATGTGTTGCGCCAGATGTCGACAAGGACCCGACAAACAGAAGGTTGGTGGTGTGCGAAAAGACCTTGTAAGGAGCATCAATCACTTCTTGAAAGCAATGCTTTTGCTGCAGCGGAAGCGAATATCGCTGGTATTTTGCTGTAACACAAATCTACACAATCATAGGAAACATACCCCCTATGCATAGTACGATATAAAATGCTGGGATGTGAAATGAAATTTGCCTTGCTAGCTGAATTGATAGCTGAAATCTTTCAGTGTACTTGTGGGGAATTGGCACGAATGAGGACTAATTTCAAATAATTAAGGCCACAATAGGAGAAGTAAACAGCACGTAAAGATTCAGCAACCCAGCAAATGTTCGGGAAGAAAAAACTGCCCACAGCAAGTAACATTTGGTATATCCGAGTACGAGATTCGAGCCTCAGATGCGAGTTTTACATACAGAAACTCACATATGAACAGCAGATATCTTCATGAAAATATAACTGCTCACGTAATCCAAATCGCAAGTTAAATGGATACCAACACTGTTCCTATGGCAATTACTGAAATTCGACTCGGATTGGCCACCGCTGAGAGACGCTCTTGTTTCTCTGACAATGCTATTTTGAAGCGCCGCTTGCCCACACTTCTTGGCATAATGCCAGCCAGCACGGGGTAGCGTTTATCGAGCACTACCCAGCTCTTGGTGGCTGGATGACGTGATTGTGGGTGACGGGATTTTTGCGACGGGATTTTTGACGGGACTCCCCACAGATTTTTGCCGCTAACGGCACTGGTTTTTTCGGCAGATGCTTCTAACTAAAAGAATTTCAGACTGACCGTCAGGACTGTTAGGAAACATCCCTTCAAAATTCCAATCTTCTACTTCTCAAATTCCCGAGTTAGCGACTTATCCGAAAAAACTTTGGCAGGCCCGTACGTGGGCACCACGCTTAGCCGGCGGTTGGGTTTGAGCTCATTAACACCCACCTGGATGGGGAACATCCTCGTAAGATTTCAGCCCTTTAGCTTCTCAGATCCCCGCGTTAGCGACTTACCCGAAAAAATTTTGCGGGCCCGTACGTGGGCCGGGTTTGAGCTCATTACCTACTTGGAAGGGGGACGTCCCCTTAAAATTTCAGCCTCTTAGCATTTCTGCTTCACAAGTTAGGAGCTTACTTGTAAAAAACTTTGGTGGGCTCGTACGTGGGTACCACGCGGGTAAGAGCGCCCATTTTGGGAACGGGTCCCGTACATGCATGTAGATTAAGTTGCCAAAATTTCAGCCCCGTAGCTTTCGTAGATCTCGAGATGAAAAATCGGTACACAGGAATACACAGACACACACAAATACACACAGACAACCCTCGTCAATATGCGTTTTTTGCAGCTATGCAATGCGAAAAACGCATATTGACGAGAGGTTGTCTGTGTGTGCACAGGGCCTCTGTACTGATTTTTCATCTCGAGACCTACAAAATCTACAGGGCTGAAACTCTCGGGGCTCAATCTACATGCACGTACGAGCCCCATCCCCAAAATGGGCGGTCTTACCCGCGTGGTACCCATGTAAGAGCCCGCCAAAGTTTTTTACGGGTAAGCTGCTAACTCAAAAACCAGAAATGCTGGGAGGCTGAAATTTTAAGGGGGCTTTCCCCGTCCAGGTATGTATTAATAAGCTCAAACCCACCCCCCGGGTAAGCGTGGTACCCAAGCACGGGCCCGCCTAAATTTTTTTCGGGTAAGTTGATAACTCGGGGATCTGAGAAGCTAAAAATCTGAAACCTTAGGGGGATGTTCCCCATCCAAGTAGGTATGAATGAGCTCAAACCCAGCCCCCGGGCAAGCGTGGTACCTGCATACAGGCCCGCCAAAATTTTTTTCGAGTAAGTTGATAACTCGGGAATTTGAAAAGCTAAAAAACTGTAATTTTAAGAAGATATTCCCCGTCTGCCTATGTCTCACTGAGCGCAAACTCTGGCTCTGGGTACGCGCGGTACCCACATACAGGCCCACGAAACTTTTTTTCGGGTAAGTTGCTAACTCGAGTACTTGAAAAGCTAAAAAAATGTAATTTTAAGAGGATATTCCCCCTCCACATAAGTCTCATTCAGCTCAAACCCAGCCCTCGGGTATGCGTGGTACCCAAGCACGGGCCCATGAAATCTTTTTTCCAGTAAGTTGCTAACTTAGGAGCCAGGGAAGCTAGAACGCTGAAATTTTAAGGGGTGTTTCCTGACAGTTCTGACGGCCAATCTTAATTTGTTTAGCTAGAAACATTTGCCAAAAAACCGGTGCCGGTAGCGACAAGAACTGCGAGGAACTATGCAAAAAACGCACCTTGCACGGGTACCCGTGCGAAGATGCGTTTTTTGCATGGTTCCCCGCAGTTTTTGTTGCTACCAGCACCGGTTTTTTTGACAAATGCTTCTAGCTAGCAAACTAAAACTGGTCGCCAGAACTGTCAGGAAACATCCCCCTAAAATTTCAGCCTTCTAGCTTCCGTGGCCTCTGAATTAGCAACTTATTGGAACAAAATTTTCACGGGCCCGTGCATGTTTACCAAGCATGCCTGAGAGCTGAGTTCGAGCTGAATGAAACTTAGGCGGACGGGGTATATCTTCTTAAAATTACATTCCTTTAGCACCTCAGGTAATTGAGTTATCAATCTACCCGAAAAAAACTTTGGCGGGCTCGTACGCCGGTACCACGCTTACCCGGGGGCTGGGCTTGAGCCCACTAATACATAGCTAGGCGGGCAACATTACCCCAAGATTTCAGTCTTCTAGCTTCTCAGATCCCCGAGTTATGAACTTATCCGAAAGAAATTTTGGCGGGGTCGTACGGGGGTACCATGCTTACCCAGGGCTGGGTTTGGGCCCACTAATACCCGCTTGGGCGGGAACATTACCCCAAGATTTCAGCCTTCTAGCTTCTCAGATCCTCGAGTTATGATT